ATGAATGGAGGAATGAATGAATGAATGAATTACTGAACCAGTTAATGAATAAATGGAATTATGAATGGCAAACGTGAAACCGCATGACCGAGTAGATTGAATGACCAGTGCAGTGAGAAGATGGATGGGTGAATGAGTTGATTTTAATTTAATAAACGCGATTCTTTGATGGAAAGAAAAGACTGCTTCGCGCAAAATGTACGAAAATTATGCGGCGACCTGTTTAGCACTTGATCAAGTGGATGAGCTGCCAAGTTGAAATATCGTCTTCCAATGACGTAAAAATGTCAAAGTTCACGGGTTAACGCGCGGGAGAACTGAGTGACCGGACGATAAACTAATGGGGGTCATACAGCGACATATGCATATAATCTCTAATATTTCGTCTTTTCTCAGACAAAATAACCTAACTCCTCTCTCTATCAAGGTTGCTAAATTGTTACTCAGCAATAGTATTCTACCTAAAAAACTGTTGCCCATTTTTCACTGAGAATTTCAGTTTTTTTTTAATTACTCGCGAGCATCAGCAAAATTTTTGAAAAAATTTGTAAAGGCATATACTTGGATAAAAAGGATTGTTGAGTCAATTTTGCTGCCCTCGGATGGAGTTAAGTTCTTTGGTGTGGAGAACGACGTTTTGGCGCGCCAAGGAATTTAAATACGAACATCCATGATTTTTCTTCCTTACTTTCTGGCTCGATTTAATCTACGTGCGCGGAATTTACATGACAAATACTTGTTTCCATACCACACATACGAGAAGACTCAGAGTTGAGTCCATCGGGCGGATGGATGTGCCCTCGGTGCTGCGCTCCCGCACAAATCTTGAAATCAATCCCGGGCCGGTGCCTCATTAGCTGCCAAGTGTGACATAAAAATCAAATGAATTATGCTCCGCTTGAATGGCGAAGGCGAACTTGAAATAACGAACACATTTCGCTATCCGAGCATTAATTTTATGCACTAGTCTTTTAGTTTAACACATCATTTTATGTGCACTGCCCTGGTGGCCGCCCCGTGTCCTGGTCGCCCCAACTATTTCAATTCCGACTCTTATTTCTAGAGCAGTCCCACTTGTGACGCGCATTGCACACTTTACTCCCTTCGAGGTTGCCGTTGTGTAGTTGACCACATTCCGCAAGGAGCTTAGCGTCTTACTCTACGTCATTTTTAACACACATCCCTTTCTTAGGTAGAGCACCTTTATAGACAGAGTATGACCATTCGTATAATTTTACCACAGGAAAACTTTGCCGCTTTATGATTAGTCAACGAATTTTTAGACTTCATGATGCTCTTATGGCCGTAAATAAACAAACAAGATTGCGACTCACCGTAACACTGATAGGAAGCTAAAATTTGACAAAAATTTCAATTATACAGGGGTAACAATTTAAACTAGCATAACTGCGAATAACACATGAAAACACTGTTAAATCGCCTTTCTCCTTTATCACAGGATGATGTAAGATGTGCATAACCTCAACCTTCCTTGCAGATAACAGCAAACATGTTAGTTTATTTACGGCCGTAAGAACATCGTATCAGCATATTTCCTCGCGAACAATGAAAAACCGGCACAAAAATGTCCATATTCCTTCTATAAAAAAAAGGCATCTGAAGGCAATCTAAAGGCACTCTATTCTTAGGAAGGCCTCATATGATTTCAATTGAGACTAAAGGAAAGTCTTAGGAGGCCTTCATTGCATTTTGAATTGTCTTCATTGCCTTAAGTTCGATGTCGTTTTCCGATTAAGGCGTACATGCATTTTTACAGGGATATCCCTGCACACGGAGAGAAATGAATTTCGAGGGATCCTTAATAGCAGTCTGAATGTAGATGACTAAACTCAAAAGATGCGTATTTCCGTTGCGGTGTTCCAAAATCTTAAATTATTTTTTAGGTTAATAACAAAAAAACTAATTGCGATACAGTGAAAGTAGTGTTCATGTAGTTCCACGAGAAATTGACGGTTTATTTCTTTTCAAAACACCTAAACTATGAAATCGTAAATACCGTAATGGACCTCTATCCCAAATTTAATATTTTCCCATTGAAAAATCTTGGTATCATTTTTTTCCAAATCTTGCGATTTTTTAGTCTCGATTTCTGAGACTCATTCGCTGGAATGATTGTCTTTTTCTGGCTAAAAAGTCAAAATCTGCTGATTTTATCGCGATAGAACTTTATCCCAAATTGAATAATTTCCCGTTGGAAAATCTTGCTTTCATTATTTTTCCAAATCTTTAGATGTTTTTGGTGCTCAATCCCTTAGCCTCATTCGCTGAAATAATTGTCTTTTTTTGTCTAAAAAGTCAAAAGCTGCTATGAGTTTTCACTAAATCGATGCCACGCCGGTTGACGAAGCCAAGAACCTGGGACTGATCACCTTATGGTGCCTTTCGGAGGCAAAGTGGCAGCGGCGAGGTTTATTGCGATATCCCGCACCCAGTTTAAGAGGAGGCTAATTGTGGCCAGGTGATGCGCGCGGCTTATTGCACTGCTGCGGCTGCGGCACTGGACCAAACCTCCGCGTCGCATGTATATAACCCCGACCTTTTACGCATTAGTAATGCATTCATCTGCAAACATGGCATATCTGAGTCTCATGGGGTCTACCCTTCACGTCTCACCTGTATTTACTAATAGTCTCTCTTGAGGCTTCCTCCGACTTAGTCTCCAAGCAATACGTCATCCTTTTGACATAAGAACGTAAATGCATTTCGCGATGAGCCCTGTTAACCATAAATGTCAATATTTTCCCGGTCTCATCTCAAAAAGTTGTTACGCTCTTTTATCAGCCAAGCAACGAATAGATTCACCGCTCACTGGAAAAAAAAAAAACCCATTGGATCTACAGTCCAGACTCTTGAAAACATTGACAAGAATAAATACTCTTGATTCAATCAAATTTTTGATTAAATCAAAAAGAAATCCGCTCAAATTAAGAGGCTTGGTCCTTGATTTAAGCAAACATCCGATTGAATCAAGAGTATTCTTTCTTGTCGATGTTTTGAAGAGTCTGGACTCTAGATCCAGTGTGTTTTTTCTTTCCAGTGCTGCATCAAGGAAAAATCACAGATAATCTCGAGCGCGAAAACGGACTGTGGGGACATTTTACCGATTTCAAGAAAACTTTACGTTTCAATCCCTTAAATGCATCTATCCACAAGAATTTTGCTCATAAGAAGAATAGAAATTTGACGTCATCAAGAAGAACCAACACGACATGAATCCTTTTGGTGGATTTTGTATTCGGGCCATGCATGGCTCCGATAGGGGGAAAAAACGCCTTCAGTTACTCAGCTATGCTAAACGCCCGACAGAGAAGCACGAATAGTTGTATCATCCTTTTAGTAATTAATTCATCGCATGAATCTCTTCTCAAAAGTATCACTATTCTCGCGTATTAACCTAACCTAACGCAAAGTTGGCTCTCTTCTGAGACATCCGAACGCCTTTACCGAATAATCGTCAATTTAGATTAGAAACGTTTGACGAAACAGATTATTTTTGAAACAAAAAATGATTTTATTGCACCGAAGACAGCGAAGAGACTTATTCAGATGGACTATTGACTTCACATCGAAAAAAATCTCGCTGGTTCCTTCCTGCTAAATGCAATCATAATAACGACGATATAACCTCAAATAATTCGAATATTTACCAAATTACAAAATACAAGAGGATGACACATTGTTAATTACTTTCTCTTTACATAACTTGCATTGGAATTTTCTCCTCCCACCTATAATCCAGAATTTCATATATTTTTAAAATCACTACCTCTGCCGATCTCTATATCATCTAGTATGAGCGAATACGTAGCATCAACCATAAACCACTTTTCAAGGTATTTTGACGTTCCTGACCGCAGCCGGTGCTGGCGCGACCTCCTGAGTCACAGGTCGGAGACTGGAAAGAGGCTCCTTTCGAAAGATGTAACTTGGATTTCTAGATACGATGGAATCTCGAACTTACGTGAGTTCCTAGAATTTCTTCGAAATCGTATGTGCCTGTTAATTACTTCAATACACGCGCAAAATTTAATCTGAAGTATTTTAGTCTTCGTTCCACGACGCGAGAGACGGTATTTTCCTGGATATTCCAAAAACCCTCGGAGGAACAGAGCCTGCTTTTTTTACCAGTGTGATTAGCTATGTGCTTTATGAAAAGTTCAACCTTCACAAGATACACGCAAATATCCAAATTTTGGCAATTCCAGTTGCGCCTACATTTTAGGAAATGGGGCTTCTAATGATGAAGGGAACCTTTAGCCGACTTATAACCTTATGCTTGATTACAATTTCACGAAGTATGTCTGTACCTCTAATTTAGCACAAAAAATAATGTATTCGTAAGCCCAAGGATTAATGTAAGTTACGTTGTTAACGTCGCATCGAGTGAATAGGAGAGGTCGGACAAAATTTGGAAGCTTAAACGCTTATAACTCCATTATTATTCATAATCCATTTATCTATTCATAAAACTTCGAGGTACGAAAAAGGGTTTCATTGGTTTCCTCGTAAAATTTTCTTTTGAAAGCACCCCTTGAAATTTAAAATATGACGAAATAAACATGAAAATTTGCAATTTTAGTAAAAAAAATTGCAAGTTCGACCTCTCCGATTGACTCGATCCACTATGCATCATGGGATATTTCAAAGGCAAAAGTGCTTCAAGGGTCATTTCGATGATGAAACTACCAGACTACGTATCTCGTTTGCAATTTTTAAAAATCTCCGCTCCCATTTTATTTTTTTGAAGGGAAACAAATCAATATTATTTCTTGGAATTTTCACAGAGTTTTCTTCCCGTAGAGAGAATGAAACACGGAGGTTCTCAAGAATTGAAGTCGAGTGGTTTTCCATCTGAAAAATAAAGAATGACAGGAAGTCTACAACGTCGCAAACCGAGATACGTGGTCATGTAGTTTCACCGTCGATTTCCATTAATAATTCTTGATTTTCGTGGAATCAAAGGTCATGACTTTTCTTACCTTGCATCCTTCGCACGTGAAGGCTCCGAAGTGAAATCCAGCGGCCGGCTCGCCACACACTTTGCACTGCTGGTTCATAACCTGCAACACAGTTCAAATTCTCATTAACAGTTAATTACTTATTATATGTTTTGACTACAACTTGCAAGAAAGAAGTCACATTTCAGGCTCACCTCAAAAACTACAAATATGCTCTTGTTTATATGGAGGCATATGATTCCTCTTATTTTTTCTTACTTTAATGTTTCCCATGCAGAAAAAGTACTTTTATGAAAGAGTCAGAAATAGAGTTCCTTATTGCAAATGGTATTCAATTTCTATCCAACAGAAAATTAGAAGAGTCTTAATTTTTAAATGGTATTAGTACAATTCACTTTGCTTCTGTATCGTCTTACATACAATCCGTGTATTCACAGAACTCCAATAAAAACGCCAAAATGAGCACATGCAGACTAAAATAATGAATTAAGTTTTGCAAGACCTTTAAGGGGATTCTCTGTAGAGTCATCATTGGATCATTCGCAGATCATTTGCCGATACACTAACGGTTAAACAAGATACGCATATGCAAAAAAGGAGCTTAATTTCGGCCTCAAGGGTTGACAAGTAATAAATAGTGACAGGGGCTGATGTTTCCCGGCGCTTTTGTTCACATGACGCAAGTAGCGGACAATTGGTCACAGTCTTGATGAGCGTTGAGTCTCTCATTGACGAACATCCTTTTGGTAAAGGTCACGCTTTTGAAAGAGTGCGTTCGTTAAGAATGGGTGGCGTCCAGGCCTCTTCAAAAATCTTGCATCTCTTCAATCCTCCTTTGAAAAATGTTTCTTTTTAAGTGCACTCTCTTTATGGAGTACTGCGCCCTTTCTAGCGGTTTTGCCTGGATCTGCACCATTCATACATGCATGCTCGCAATGCCTCATAGGATCCTTTTAATTATTTAAAACGTCGCAAGCCCCACAAGCTTGGAATTCAGAGATTCTCAAAATTCTCTTTTGTTTAAATTAAATGTCTCTCTGCGCTCTACGGACGCAATCAGGGGCTCCTAGGACTTCGACCGGGTGTTGCTGTCCGCAATTTCAAGTTAAAATAAAAAGACAATTTAATCTTTTTCTCCTCAATGCCCAGCGGCAGTATCTTATCAACTAAAATGTAAATATTATTCATTAAAAGTCGTCTCATAAGTTAAAATTAATCTTTCCAAAGATGTAATGGTTATCTAAAAGTATCTGTTGTCAGGGCCGGATTTACTTACTTGCCGCCCATGGGCCGCCTGTATTTTGCCGCCCCCTTCTCATTCGTTTTGAAACATCAATAAAAACGATCAAGTGAACGTTTTGGAGGGAAAGAGGCGTATAAGACGCGTTTACTCGTGTTGGTCACATTTTTTGCAAAAGCCCTGTCAACACTACTAGCAAAAGTTCACGGTACTTGGCGCGAAAGAGCGACGCCAAAAACGACCGTTTTTTGGCACAATTTGGGCCAGAAGGGATTTATCTGAAACCGGGCCCAAACGATACCTTATGATACCCCAAAACTCTGGTAAAAATTTTAGCTTGAGTATACGCACCGTTTTTGAGAAATGGGGGGG